ATTATTGTTACACTGATTAACTGTGTTCGTGTTCATTTATATGTCGGTATCGGAAACGTGTGCCTGTGCGTATTAGTACGGTCAGCGTAAATTTATTGTCTTTCTCAAGTGACTTTTTCTACAAATATATTTGTGTCGTCTGCAAAAAAAAAAAAAAAAAAAAAAAAAAAAAAAACCAACAGAACATAAAAGATAACAAAACCAAAACAATGTGAAGCAAGTATAAATTTATATTTTCAGTTGTATTACATTCGCCATAGATGGAGTAGGAGGCGTTGCCATGCTTACTTCGTAATCTGTACTAGTAACTGCGTTCCGTACTAGAAAGCAATCATTGGTACTGGTTGATACGAAAGTTATGAACTGTGTATGTATAATTACACATAAACGAACACACACACATACACACAGATATAAATATATATGCCCGTATAATTAAATATGAACGAACGCACATATACATCCGAACATACGCACACACATACACACATAAGTGCCTGTATACCGACATATAAACGAACACACAAATGCGTATGTACACGAATACCTACATATGGACGTACAGACACACATACACAAACGCAAGAACGCAAGTGTGTCAGTATACCTATATATATATATATGAAGGGACAGACACACACGCACATATACCGGTACTTGTATATCGACATACCAACATATTAATGAACAATATACATACACGCACATACATATACGCATAAGTGAATGTATAGCGATAGATGAACACACACACACACATATATAAGTAAGCGAATAGCTACATATGAAAGTACAAACACACATACACGCGTGCGCACAAAACACACCTAATTGCCATGTATGAACGAATACACGCACACATAGCTGTGCTTGTATACTGATATATGATCGAACACATACGTAGTTGTATATTTACATATGAACGAACACACACACATGCATCTGTCTAACTACATATAAGCGAACACACATGCACACACACACACAGACTTCGGCATGTTTCTTTCTGAATATATAGATGTGAATTGATACAAATATTTACTAAGCATCAGTTAGTGTCAAATATTAAAAAGAAAAGATTGTGCTGCGCCAATTTTCCAAATTGCTAAGAAACTATTTCTGTCTTGAAAATCAAGCATATTTCTTTTTTCTTTCTTTTTTTTTTTTTTTTTTTTTTTGCATATTGATGACTGTTACCAGAAAAAAAAAATCAGTTTAGTACTTTATATCTCATTGCACTTAAAGGAGTCGAAATAAGGTCCTGATGCCTGAGAGGACCCAGATAAAATGTACCGTGTGATAAATAGTAGCTTTTAATACCAATTCTATGTATATGCGGCATTCCCACTTTAAACAAGCCTTGTGCCATATTCCGATCCAGACACATCAATGCCTTCTCAGTAAACACTGGGTTACGAATGAGTGTCTGTGTGTATGTGTGTACATGTGTGTGCGTGTGTGTGTGTGATAGGGGGTGGGGAGTGAAGCCTAGAAGCTCCTCTGAATGTCTTGGTTCAATAGTGTTCATGTAAAAAAAATTGGTTTGAAAAAAAAAAATTAAACAATAAACACAACTGGTAATTGATTAAAAATCGATCTGAGGTTTTATTTAATCAATCACTTGTTTCATTTTCCAACATTCCTTGGCTGGATCCATCGGTAAAGATTTTATTATGGCTTCCAGGCAAAAAATAAATTACAAGATAACTCCACCTTTTTTTTCTTATTAAACTTAGCTTAGTTTGCCACAAGGCCAAAAATACGGGGAGCCCGGTGTTGATTGAACGCACTAGTCAGTTATAATGATCAACCCCAAGTGTTACTCAACGCCCCAAATATTTACTAAGCTTAATTTGGCACAAGGCTACAAGTATGGGGCACCAGGTGCGGATCGAACTCACTACTGTCTACTCGACTAACTTCTTGAGCATTACCGAACGCCGAGGGGTCCAAAATATTTACTAAGCTCAGTTTAGCACAAATTCACTAATACGATGCACCCAATAAGGTTTGAAACCAATACTCAATTAAAATGATGTATTAAGCTCGCTCGCTAACCATTAACCTAAACTAGGCATCTTTACCGGATTCTCTATGAATTTGCTGGGATGAATTAAAAGACGTTAATTTTTTAAAGTGTAATTTTACATGAATTTCATTTTTCCTTTCCGCTTGTTGCTTAGAGTATATTATAAATTGCGCAATATATATATATATATATATATATATATATATATATATATATATATATATATATATATATATTTCACCCCAAGCAAGGGGTTACAGATGGTAGAGAACAAGAGTAAAGAGGCATGTTTGGGGAGAGGATAAAGAAAAGGACGGGGAACAAGATCAAGGTATCAGAAAATGTCGATTGACATTACACTTAAATATTTGAAGATCATAATTATCAGGGAAGTAAATAAAAG